CGCTCTTTCAGCCCCAAGTGCCTTTGCCCCTTACCTCTGGTCCTCTCTGCCCTAGTCCAATGTCACCTCCTCTGCCAGCCTTCTTTGATTTCTCTGCTGAACTCACAGTTCTCTCTTCACTATCTCCCTTAGGGCATGGGATCTGTGTCAGAGTACACTGGATCAGAGTTCTATGTCCCCTTTCCTTCCAGGACTGGAAGCTTTTGGGGGTAAGACTCATGACTTTCAAGGCCCAGAAATAAAAGACTCATACCCAGATCTTCGGCAAATGTCAGATGTGTTTTCAGACATTTGGATAAAAGAATAAATTGAATAGAAACTGAATTATCTTGAGAAACCCAAGTCCCTCTACCATAGGGAGGTTCAGGTAAGTTTCTCTGAGATGGAGAATGTTTCCTTCTGCCAAATCAGAATCAAGAAGTGGTAGGACTGGTCTTTTTTTTTTTTAATTTCAGGTTAATGTGAAGGCACAATTAGGTTATAATGTTTGCATTTGTGAGGCAGAGTTCCTGTTGTAGTTGTGTCCTGCCCCCAGGTGTGCCACATACCCTTACATTGTACCTATTAGGCGGGAACACACCAATCCCTCCTCCCTCCCTCCCTCTCCCCACAACCTGAATTGAGTTTTTCTCTTTTGTGGGCATGTTTAGATTGTTCACTGGCTTCACACTGAGTACACTGGATACTTGCCTTTCCTTCTTGTGATACTGTGTTTCATACACATTCTCATTCTTGACTGAGAATGTGTCTCAACTCCATCCAGGTTAACACAAAAGATGCAAAGTCTCCATCATTTTTATGGATGACTAGTATTCCATCGTATACATATACCACAGTTTATGAATCCTTTCCTGGGCTTGATGGGCACAAGTTGTTTCCACAGCTTGGTGACTGTAAATTGAGCTGTGATAAACCATCTAGTACAAATGTCTTTATGATAAATTGATTTTTTTTTTCTTCTGGGTAGATGTCTAGTAATGGGATTGAGGGATCAAATGGAGGATCTATTTTCAGTTCTTCGAGGATTCTCCATACTTCTTTCCAAAGAGGCTGTATTAGTTTGCAGTTCCACCAACAGTGGGCAGGACTGGTCTTGATCCTTTTCAACCAAAAGTTCTAATCTCTGCATCACTGTGGTCTGAGAGTGCCCATTTCATCCAACAGTCCAGCCAAACCCACACTGGAAGAGGGCATATGAATAGGACTAAGCCTCAAGCCACACACTTGCTCGTGTGCCCTTAAGGTGGTGCTTGTAGTATTGTCTGGCTGATGAGTAACTCAGAGCTCCTGGGTTTTCAACCAGGCTTCTCGAAGGCTGCAAGTAGTTAAGGCCTCAGAACACCTGTCTTAAAGACTCAGCCGATCTCCCAGACAGGACAAGTCAATTAGTGCAACCACTGCCCTGGCAGGAAGCCCCTCTCACCTAGCAAGTGGTCACCTGGCTCCAGCTAATCCCTGAAATGGAATTAAGTTAGAGACCATGAAAGTTTTCTAGTGGGGTGGGGGAAGAACCTACATTGGGACATCACCGCAGTCCATTGTAGGATCTTTCTTAAAGCAGCTTAGTTGGGTTCTGGAATCTGGGCCTCATGGGATCAGGAATCGAAGTGTTTGTCCACCCAGAGATGATTGGCCTCTCAGTTGTGGACTGAGAAAAAATCACAAAAGGAAGACACTTTAAGTAACTGTGGGAGAATTTCCTTGCCAGTAGCTGGAATATTCTTTGTTCAGGAAACCATCTTATTGTAGCCCCTTTTGGTATCAAAGTACCAAATTGCTAATTCGGAACACTGCTTATCAAGGACAAAGTTAAGAACAGAGTGAGAGTCCCAAGGCTAAAATCATTAGGACCTGGAGAGGGCGGCTGAGTCAGGGTCATCGTGTGGAAGCAGTGAGGGCTTCCCCTCCCTCCGATTTCCCATGGCCGCCCTTCCCCCTTCCTGTTTTGTGAGTCAGTGCCCCAGACACTGTTGTCCACGTTGTCTAGGGATGTGATCCTCCTCCTGGAATGGGGTCAAACCAACCCACAACGTTCTAGAGGCACCTCAAGGTAGCAGCTGACAAAAACTGGTCCGCGTTTAAACAATTTCCATTTCAAATTATCACAGATGCTCTTAGATATCATGCAGAAATCTTAAACGTTCAGTCTTTCAGAATGGCTCCATCAGGGTGTAGGGCAGCTGTACTCACTAAAGCTCAGTCAGATCCCAAAAGGCAACACAACTAGAACCTCTGACACATGCACACATCTGCCACAAACAAGTCTCTAAAAAAGATATCTCCCAGGACACTCTCTCAGTCTCTCTCACTCGCTCAGATGGTGGTCACGGAGTGATACAAACAACCTGAAACTTGGTTTTTAAACTAGAATTTATTGGTATACAAAACTCCATTTCATAGATAAAGTGGCACATCTTTGCAGCTTCTATTGCACCAAGTATTGAAGATTAAAAACACAAAAAAAGAAACATTTGGTTTTGAAAACACTGCAAATAGCCAAGTACAGTACTTTGGTAAATAAAAAATAAAATGGTTCAGATGAACGCAATCTGTGGAAAGAAACAACATGTGGGAAAGGAACTATGAACATCAGACCACGGTCACATTTCTCACCATCAAGCTCCATAGATAAGGCAACACCTGCTGAGTCTATGGATCATGACCCCATGGAGGTCTCAGATATCTCCAGACTGAAGCTAGAACAAGTATAGTGCAAATAGAAAAAAGAGAAGGCCCTTTCTCCACAGACACACCTGCCTTCGTAAAGGGGATGATGCTCGCGAACACATCCGCATTAGAAGGGGAGACGCAGGGGTGAAGTCTGACACCTGGCTCTTTTCTTCAAATTTCCTCTGAGCTTAGTGCTGGTGAAGGATGCTGGAAGGGTAGCTAGGGAGGCCACGGGCCCTTCCTGCCATGAAAAATGAACCACAGGAATGGGAAAATGTGAGAAGCCTCTCACCAGCATCACTCAAGGGACCTGCCAAGGGATGAAACCCCCCAGCTGAGGTCTGTGACTGAGCTCCAATGATTGTCACGGACGGCTGGAAAGAGAGACCTGTGGGATGCTGACGTGCAGATTAGCGCCTGACTGTGGTTTAGTCCAGCGATCACTACCTGCCACAAGCAGGAGCAGCTCTGTGCCACAGGGATGCCCTGCTGAAAATAAATTCACCATGCCAAAATTCAGACTTCTAGATTATTTACACTGGTTCCAGCCGCTTCTCAAGTAAATTCTGCAAAGATATGAAACACTGGCATCACGCTACGAAGTAGTCCTAATGAGGGCAGTTAGAGAGAGACTACAGAGAGCGACCACTTAGAAGAACCAGTTAAGGGCGTGAGGTTGAAGGGGAATTTTACTGTGGGACGGGAAAGACCTGGGCCACCCACAAGGCACAGCTCTTTCTTATAGCCCAGCTCAGCAGCACACAGTGAGTCACACACTGAACATGCACTTGGTGACTGGTGCTCCCTAATATCTGCACTTCCCCTTTCTCATATGTAATGGCAGATTTTTAAACATGCCATCTGGATCTTCAATTCAGTGACATCAGTGGACAAACACAATTTACTTTAGAGCCAGGGAAACACATCTTATAAAAAGTGCCGTTACTAGATCACCTCAGAACAACTGTCAAAGGCCCCAGAGCATCAATAACACCTGTTCGGAAAGCTGAGCTGAATGAAACGGGAAGTAACATGAATGGCAAACAGAACAAAGGCATCGGACTCCAAGTCTAAACATTCAAAATGGCAAGGCAGAGCCGTGAGGTAAAAAGGTGACGAGCTGTGCACTTACCCAATGGAGAGTCTGAGAGGGCCACCAACGACACACTAAAAGCAGCAGGCTCCATTCTCTTCCCCCGGGAAAGACCCTTTGATCAGTGTGGCTTTCAGTCAACACTGACAAGGAATCCAAGCTTCCTTTAGCTGACCAGATATTTCAGAGGTAAACTGACGGCGCTCTATGTTGACCCAGTAAAACCCAGGCAGAGTCTAAAGAGTTTCTCAGAATGAGAGAAATTGCACATTGACTACAGGGACTCACTATAAGCTTCAGGGCTGAAGTCCACCTCGTCGCCATCAGACACAAGCAGCTCTGTGCCCGACTTCACATGCCCTCCTCCTGCCCCCCACAATCCTATGGTTTCACATTGTACAAGGTCCCTGGGGAAGAAGGGCAGGGCCTTACGGATCACCTGCAGAAAGGCTCCCTCCAAGCCCAGCTCCAGCTACCCTGCAAGGGAGATTCCACTTCACAAGCCCTCAGAACCAAAATGGCCTTGGAAGTGTTTTCAGAGCTTATAAGAGAAACTACAGACAACTTTAACATGTAAACTCGTTCTGCCACAATTCCTCAACCGTACTTTGCTCCTAAAAGTGTACATTCCTATTATTGAAAAACTAAATTTACCTATACACATTCTACCTTTCTAATATCTCCTGGTGGCAACTATATTATTTAGAAGTTGTGGTTTTAGGTTGTTTTAATAGATCTACCCCTCTAATTCAAAGCTGTTGCCACTAAAGTTTTATTTTGACTCATAAAAAAGTCTTTTAAAATCCATAAAACCTTTATATACAGTTTATAAGACCAGTAAGTAGCTATGCACACACCACTGCTCTATCCCGTCTCCTGGCCACACTATAAGCTACCAAGACGGAATTCCATGTAATAGAAATCTCTATCAGCCAAGATGCAACACAGAGGTTAAGACAGATTGAGTTCACATGAGTAACTGCACTAGGGTAACAGTCACTGTCAACAGTCACCCCAGGACTAAACATACCCAAGTATGGCCAACCTCCACTTGGCTATCAATGAAAGAATTTTCACATGCCCACTAAGGCAGCTAGGCATATGGATTCCATCTATCTTACACCCTGCAGTGAGACTGAAGCAGTGAAAACAAAATTCAAACCCTCAGGCTAGAAGATATTGAAGTTGGCTACATGTACCTCATTCCTAATAATTAACATACTAAACCCAGACCAATTATAACTGGAAAGCTATGAAATGGTAATAAAAGAAAATTACTAAAGACATATGATTAGTTTTTAAAACCACTGTTATTATACCCAGAAATGCTATTATCAGAATTAGGTAATTTATAAACAAATGTTCCCAATATTCTTTAATAACTTTTTAGCACCTTCTAAAATGCAACAAGGCTCAAGGCCACCTTCATTAACCAAGTAAATAACGCCGTTCTACTACTTCTGTTTCTGAATCCTACATCTGAATTTCTGGTACACCATCTTGATCAGACAGGATCTGATCTTCTGTACTCAAGCAGCAGCACAAACCAGACAGGAAAGTGTTCACTCAGAAAAGCTCTGCCAGTCAGGAATCTGCCCGGAGTGGCAAGCCAAGAGAGTACAGATGCTGAAGCACTGGCTGCACTCCCTTAGAGGAAGGCCACAGACAGCCTTCACTTGTTTGGACTGAGTACCGCACTAGAGCCTCAAACTTAGGACCCCACAATGTGCAGATGGAAAAAATGTGTGGGTTTTAAAACCTACTAAATACTACAAAGTAATGTACCCAGGAAAAAGCCCAAACCACAATGTCCTGGGAACCATTTCAACAGACTACCAATGCCCCATCCACAGAAAGCCAACAAAGACAAACAAAAAATCAAAAGGCATCATCATTAAAACTGTAGGAAGCAAATGGCCTGCTGGACAATTCAATGAATCCAGGGCCTGCTGGCCGATATGTCTATACACACTGAAACATTTTTAGTTTTACCCTTGTCTCCAAATTTTTATAATTTTAAAATTTGAGGGGTAGGGGAAACAATTAATAATTTATCTTTTGACTCAACATATATTCTTTGCCCAAGTATTAGGTCCCCCAAAGGGAAAGACTGCCCAAGATCACCTCATACATTACAGCTCTATAGTTCATGTCCACCTAATTCCGTTTTTGGAATGCCATCTCTCCACTGCCCAAATCTGTCTATTTCAGAACTATAGAGTCATTCAAAGACTTTAACCAAAATATGTTCTCCATGCTATCCAACCTAAGTTACTGACAACTTCTGGCAAATGCTGGAGGGTTTTCCCAAAATCAAAAGAAACAACAGGGCTTAAATTTTAAAAAAAGCAACATTTTATGAGATTCCATTTCTAAAATACTAAGAACATTTACCAACCTATAAGGTCAGATTATATTTATTTCTCTGAAGGTATCTTTCTAACTCTAGAATAACAGAGAATAGTTATTTCATGTGAACATGAAAAACCTTTGACATTCTTCCAGATTTCTCCTCCCATAAAAGCAAATAATTATTTACTCTCCTCCTAGGTAAAACCCCAGGAATCCCCTGTTGTCCTTCTGCAACTACAGACCCTGCTCTATAGAATTCCCAACTGCATCACAAGCGGTAACCCGCCATTTTCCTGTTGTCAGGAAATAAGAACCAAAGACCAGACAATTCTGTCAACCTCCCAGAAATGCCCAGGCCCAATTAACAGTCAGGTACATTTATCATATGGCTTGAGTGCAAATGAACTAACAGCACCTGCAGCCATATGAAGTGACATCAGCCTCAGGAAGAAAAGAAGTATAGTTTGTTTGTTTGTTTTTTTAATTTCCATCCTGACTACAGGCCACACCCTCATATCACCTTTGGGAGAACAATTCCTGAATTATTTTCTGAGTAACTTGGATTAGAAGAAAATTAAATCTCACAGGTTCCTGAGTTGGAGATCATTTATAAATTACTCTATATGTTAATATCTGTTTGAAAATGAAAGTGAAACCAAGGAAGCTTGTCATTCTGACTTTCTAACAATTACTCTAAACTACTTCACAAACGATTATAGCAAAACTCACCCCAAGTGTTAAGGAAAGATCTCAGGGTCGCTGAACTCCGATTTTTAGGGCAAATAAAGCCACACTTCAAAGGTTTGTTCCTGACCTATTCATCCACCTCTAACACTCAGTATTTTGTATTTGTATAACACAGTATGAATGGCTTCACTGCACTTTCATTAAACAAAACACATCACTGACAAAACTGAACCAAAAACAGGCAGCCTGAAAGAAACTAACTCTGTGTGCGAGCTTAGGTGTGGGTTTTCTTGGTTGTGTTTCACTTTGTAAAAAGACGGCCTCACTGGAAAGCCTGATCCGCAGCACTCCATTTTCCACCGGCTTTTATTTAACTCCCAGGAGGCCAGGGTGTCAGATGTTGAGAGCAGCAAAGGTCTTCACCAAGGTGACCTGTGTGTTCGCATCCGCTTCACTTCTGTTGTTGTCCCTGTGGCTACTTCTCTCCAGGGCTTTGTGACGGTGCCTTTCCTCCTGTCGTTTTTTCTTCTCCAGCCGCTGTTGCTCTCTCTTCTGTTTATTTGTGACCTGAAAGAGAAGACCACTGGGGTGAGTCACCAGGCAGTCGGCTCAGGCTGCTACCTGCCACAGGGTAGATTCTGCCTGACATATGCAAAGGCTACAGACTGCCTTTCAGTAAGAACAGAGAAAATCAGCCTAAAAGACCAGAAATGCTTTATTTTCCAGTACTGCTCTAATTTACATTTAAATTTATATCACCTTGCTGAACTAGCAAACAAGATCAATTCCATTTGCCTCATAAACCAATTTAAAATGACCTAAAGAAACACTAACTAGTCCAGCAAAAGGTTAACACTCAAATAGGCCAGAGGACGCCTTTCTCTGTGTAATAACGCACCACGTAATACTACCAAAATCCTCAGAAGCTTACCGCATCCTTGCCTCTGCCAGGGGCTTTTTACATTTAAGTAGCATTTTGAGCTCAGAACTTCTTGGTCAAAATCTTTAAAACAAGTCCCAAATTCAGTGAAATGAGGGATGTCACATCCTACTTGTGGGAGTGCAGGGCAGGGAGAAGGCTGTACACCCTCTCTGGGAAGCACTTGGTGATTTACAAAAAGGCTGAAAAGGATTTACGT